ACTTAGTCTTTTGATATATATAACCTAAATTACTGTTCTGAACGAGACAACAGACAGAGAATGTTTTATTTAAAAACGTCACAAAACCTTCTCGCTACCTTAAGTGCACAATATAAATTTAGGCGAGATCTTTCTCGAGTGCGAACGTTTCTTTCATCGGCAACTTTTTTCGACTTCGCAAACTACTTTCAATAGTTTCATAGGCAACTTTTCCCGACTTTGCACGTTACTTTCAATAGTTTATAAGCAACTTTTTTCGACTTCGCACACATTTATTAGTTTATAGGCAACTTTTCACACTACTTTCAATAGGTCATAAGCAACCTCTCCTAACTTTCTTGCAATACTTTTAATAGTTGATAGGTAACTTTCCTCGGCTTCGCCTGCTACTTTTAATAGTTTAAAGGCAACTGTTCGACTTCGCACGCTTTTTTGAATACAGTGTAGTCTATCGGCAAAGTATTAGCTGGTCAGGTGACTTCATTAATTATGTTCGTATCTGATTTTTATAGAGGTATAGCAGAAATGCAGTCACTACTACTTTGCCCGCTATTTTTAATCATTCATGGGCATCTTTTTCTCAAATTTAACGCTACTATAAATAATCAATAGCCATTTTTTTCGATTTTGCATTCTACTTTTAAAATTTCATCGGAAACTTTTTTTTCTGATTTAGCACTCGTTTATAGGTATTTTGTTCGACTTTAATTGTTCATAATTGTTCTTTTTTTCCGACTTTACACTTTACTTTAATAGATTATAGGCAAGATTATATATTTTGCACGTTACTTTTAATAGTTTATCATATGCAACGTTTCCCGCTTTTTCATCTTACGATGAAAGAATGAAATTTACCTATGTCAAATCACGTGCCCACAATGTTAATTATGGTACTATTTATTTTATTCCTTTTCCGTCAAAGTTTGTTAATATATGAATATTATACTAATTGCGCCATAAAATGAGTAGAATTCTGTCTATTAAACATAAACATTGCTCTGTAATGTGAAACAACGTTTTGTAATCATATGTTATTATTTGACTGGTTGTACTTGTACTTTTTCCACTCCTGCTGCCATCTTGATATGAAAGCATGACATTTACCTAAGTCAAATCATGTGCCCGCAATGTCACTCAATTACGGTACTATGTATTTTCGTCATAGTTTGTTGATATACGAATATAATATACTAATTGCGCCATAAAACGAGGTTATGCGTTTTAAAACATAAAAACACTAATAGTTTATAAGCAACCTTTACCGACTTTGGTGGATCAACTTGCCAATGCTGTTAACATCAGTATAAGCAATGTACAGTATATTTACGTAAATAAATGCAACACTGTCAACAATGCAGCATTTCCTTGACATTAATACATGTGATAGAAAACATTGATAGTAATACTATGTAACTACACACAACTTCATTGCTTAAAACAAGAGAAAAATATAGATGATAGATAACCATCTAAACTTGTTCTAAAACTATTTCATACTTGACTGTGGGATTTATCAATTATTTAAAATACATGAGAATGTGACAAAAGTTTTAAGAATGTTCCATTTATTATAGAACTTTGAAATTGGATATAATCGCTTTCTCTGATCTCATTTAATGAATTTAACACATGTACTCATTTTTCTTCACGGATTTTACAATGATAGCAACAAAAGTATAAAATTAGTTTATTTACACTCAGCGAAAGTACTTTTTAATTACATAGAGTACATTCCAACAGCTAATGGGTATAGGTTGCAACTGGGCAAGAGAAAGAATAAAACTTGGCTGGGGTCCAGTTGATGCTTCATACCTCGCTTTGTTGACAGGAATGTGCTGCATCCATGGAGGAAATTTTATTTCTAATACAAGATTGACATTTTTCATACATTGTTATAACAATGA